TCCATAATGTAGCATGCAGTTTGCACACACTGGCCTGTTCCCAACAAGTAATTTTGTTCTGTGTCCCCATGATTATATTTTTTTTTTAGTATACAGCTATATGAGAATAACTACACTTAATCAGTTACAAGTAGTGGAAGAGGTACCAAAGTGGTTTAGGGGAAATGGGCTAAGGAAGGGCAGTAACAGCAGGGTGAGTATAACCTTCTTCTGTTTATCTGCATCTGAGACTGATTTAAGCAGTAAGCTGCAAATGACAATTGAACAGTTGCTATCTGACTTCTTTAAAACACTGTGGGGAACACYTTCTAGTCCTTTGAATTGCCATTATTAATTTATTAAGCTGTTCTAAAACCTCTTCTACTGCCTCTTCAATTTAAGAAAGTGCTTCAAAGAAATTCTTGCAATAAAAGTGTCTATGTGGGAATCTCACTAAGGCTCTCTGAGGTAAGTGCAAAGCAAGGAAGTGACTTCAAGGTGTTATTTTATATGTGTTATTACTATCAAGTTTTATTTGATGAAAATGCTTTGTGTCTGGAAATGCAAATCAGCCACTTAAAGGAGTACTTACTTCTTGCACTAAAAAAAAAAAAGTACCCTCTCTTCTTTCCCTTGTCTTGTGGCTGCATTTAAGGGCAATATTTTTTGTCAGTTCATACTATGCAAGGAATTGTAATTATACATAAATGCAATGGCAAGACCAGATCCAAAGCCTAGAAATGAGCTTTTTACAATTCAATCTAGTGTATTCTTTTTTGGTTTAACAGCACAGACAATGTTCAGTCAACATTTATGACCAGAATTCTACAAAGCTCCCCTCTCCTTACTRTATGTGCTTAATCCTTTGTAGTACTGGGAATTTGGAAGGTTGTAAATTTAATCCTTCCCTARAGAATATTCTACACATTTTCCCCCCTTTCCTCTGGTCATTGGACTTAATGATAATGATTCATATGTATAAAGCCACTAACAGTTACACAAAACTAACATCCATGCTGTAAATTACCTTTTTGTAGGACCACAGTGACATTAAGCTAGTAATTTTCTGAGCTTCCTAGGAATTCACTCCTGTTCTCAAAGTATAGGCTTCCCTCTTTTTCTTCCCTTATAATTTCTTAACTTCAAATAACCTTTTAGTAGTACCTATACATCTTTTCATCCATAYGATATACTGTCACATCCTCTCACATACTCATTACTGTATTTCCAGCATGATTGTGATTGTATTGTCTTCAGTGGATCTCGATTTTTTTTTCAAGATTGCAAGCTATGCTCTAATTATAGCGAAAATATTGTCAAGTAGCTATTTATAATCTGTTATCACAGTAGCAAATCCTAAGCTTAGCAACTGTGAAAAGAATAAACTCTTCATATGGATTTGATTCCACTTTAAATTACATTGGTATAAACTGTGAAATTGATTGGATTGACTGAAATTACAGTAYGTGAAACCAAGGAATTTTATATTAAAATTAATCCCATTAGAGCAATTCATGCAACTAAGCATCTTTCTGGGTTACATGGATCAATTGTAGTGGGAGGCACTTAGAAGTGAGAATGAGAGACCTATAGGGGATTCCTCTTCTCTTCAGTTAAATCTAGTAAAACCAGATTTGAATTTCCATAAGACTCCATCAACAAAAATGCCTTGGATATACAACGTTAAAAATGTCATTGTGAACATGCTGATAAAACAGATATGATATTAGTGAAACTATTCAAGACAATAGATGTCAGAAAAGTAATTCCTTTCCTGAAGAATGAAAATAACAAGATCATAAATATATCTCAGAGGTAGCCAGTGCTTTAAGRGCAGGGAGCATAAATTGTACTCACAGGAGAGTTCAGACAAAGAGCTATTCACTCTTTCCTAGGTAAAATTGAAATGCCATGAATTACTGAGTTGTAGACATAAATTATTGAGTCTTCTCTTACTCCTGAAGAGCTAGCAAGATAAAAAGCGAAATACTTACACCTAATCAAATTTAAAACCTTTTTTTTTTTTCATTTGCTGCCTTTGTATTTGTTTTGAAGGGAGGTTARTTTGCCATTCAGAGCTATTATTCTATATGTTCATGTTAATATTTTCATAGATATAGCTCCCTTCACAAAACCAGAACCCATTAAATTTATTAAAGCATTTCACTCTTTGAGAAATGTCAGTAACACTCACAGCTACAGATGGTAATTGCCCCTTACACAGAGGTTTGTTGCCAAATCTGTATTTCTGAATCCAAACTTTGAGTTTAGCCAGGCCATTTATCTGTGCTAAACATACTGCACTCTCAGCAGACACAAATTTTCTACCCATCTAAAACTCAAAAATTACATTTTGTGGGATTTTCACCCTAGAAATAGGCTATGAAGTGCCAGCAAAACCTTTTTTTTTTTTTTTTTTTTGAGTCCTACTACAGTCATCCATTCTATGCTTTGGAAGCAGATCCTATCAAGAGTCACAAACACATAGAGCRTGCAAACACATGTGTACATCTCTATATACTTTTCATACACACACAAAGCACTCAGCTGCTAAACCTCAAAACTGTCACACAACATGATCAAAAATTAAAAAACTCAACATCATTAATGCAGCACACTGGGAAGACTGGGAGAAGCATTCCCACATGATGTATGTGAGTCATCTTATAGTTTGGTTGTCCAAATTATTTCTTTATAATTAAAAAGTGTTTCCTTAACATAAGCCAGATCATATTTGTTTAGCACCAAGGTAGCTCTGAAAAGAACCTGAAGCATCTCTTTAGAGAAAGGTCTTAAAAGGTGCTTCTTGACCCCCTCAGGCCTCAAGATTTGTTAAATTTTATTTTACTTYGATATTACTTACCAGGAAAAGGATGAATTTGAGTAGCAGATACAGTTCTTGCATATCTGGATTCATTGCTTCTTAGAATAGTAGCAACCGATGTTGCTACTCTGTGTTTATAATCTGTTTTAAACAAAATGTGTTAGCATCAGCCCTGATTAGAAGGAAAGCTTGTAAGGCCCTTATTCTTAAACTGTTGAACACCTTGGAAAGTGTTCCAAAAACCAGGAAGGTATGTGAATAAGGCGATGAGGAAAACCAAGGGCGGGATGATTTGTATTTTCYTGAATGRAATTTTCTAGAYGTTCCATTCGRGGTTGTCCCTTTCAAATTATTCCTTGCCTTTTTCTRTACCATGTACCCTGAACAAATTTTGGAAGGACATAAAAAAAGTACAAGCTTCAGCACAAGTTTCAATTCACACTGCTGACMGTGGAATAGCAAGAATGGAGTGTACTGGCATTCTAGGAAGCTGASAGGTTCCTTTGCAAGTGTGTGGTGTTCATCTTGGGAAGCAGACTTTGAGAGCAAGCTCCACACCACTGGCAAAGACAGAGCTGGACTGAGCACCTCTGGCTATTCCTCAGCACCCAGATCATAAACTCTCAGTCTTTCCATCCTTCTGCTGCTCTCTAAATACTGTGCTCTAAGTGGGTTTATTGCAGATGGTTGTGCAGCTGTTATGGTTAGCCCTGTTCAACAGTGACTGCAGTCAGCTTCTGGTGATTGGCTTGCTGCAATTCTATGTAACAGAATTTAGTTTTATCTTTTTCCTTTGAGAACATTAAGAAATTCACTAAATTAAAATTATTTAGGTCATGATTTTTTTAATGAAAAGCCAGTGGGGATCTAAAGCACTGAAGCCCCAAGCATACACTGTAGCAGCTAATACACTGTACCAGCTCTGGAAGTTTTCATGAGACAAGAGTAGAAAGGAAAAAGCAAAACAATTAATTTCTAGTTTASGGCCTTTGTCATGGATTGATTGTAACCTCCACCAAGTTTATTTGGATAGTTTATTTTGTGCACCTATGAAATTAGCTTTAATGATCCAGGGAGTCTCAGAGTCTGCCTAGCAGAATGTCTTGCAAGGTCTCAAGGGGAAATTAATAATTCCATATTTCTTAACAGCTTTCAGTGGTGCTCAGAAAATAATAATAATAAAAAAAAACCTACTAACTGAATTATGGCTGGAAAAATTCATAAGAGCTGTTTTAGGAACATATTAATGTTCCGTTCTGTTCTTTGAGCGCCACTGAAAAAAATAAGTGTGTAGACTTGTAGTTAAAGGTATTATTATACTATATACATATAACCCTTGAAWGTGATTTTTATGTGCTTGTCTTTTTATCAGTAACATATTAATGTGGTTATGATGTTATGTATTATAAATTTAACTCATAAAACCACTTTTCCTCAATTAACAGGAAACCTATGATTGAAGCAAGTAAGTAATTAGAAGCCTCAAAAGGGCATGTTTTCCTCTTTGCTYGTGTTCATGATTCTGAAAAACCTAAATTTAATAAAGAACTGATGTTTAAGAATAAAGGTAGTAAATCATTAACCATCACACTTACAGTTATGTATTAAAAATAGTATGTTATGACTCAAAGCATAGAAAATCAAAAATATGACATTTATAAGTAGTTTTCAAATTACAAATAAAAGTCCTTTAAATTAGAACACTTRATGGCCCACTTATAAAGTCCTAATTTACACTTTGTGGGTTTTTTATACACATAAAATAGGTCTCAGAATTTGGTTTTAGCAGTAAGTAAAATATTATGTATTTTAAGCAAGATAATCTGGTAAAGAGTTCCTTTCATTGAGGGGGSTACAAACTTGACATCACAAGCAACCATCTTGCTTAGTCATTAAAATATATGCATAAAGTATTTATATTATGAAAAAAAAAATCACAGAAACATTTTGTGTGTGGGCACTCTTCTTCCTTCTGTYCAGTTATGGCTAAAGCTAGACTCCTATTCCTTTTTCATCACAAAACTGCCTGTGCATGCAGTAAGGATGATCRGGGGAATGGATATGGCTTATCATTTGTTTTATTACCCCTGTGACCAGGGTCTCCTTTCAGCACCTCTGAACTACAGAGGGAAYGGACATGTGCCTGGGAATAGCAGTTAAAGGCCAGTTGTCTGGAGGAATTCTGCCCACTCAGGGCTGACTCACACAGAAAGTTTCTGGAAACTGCTGTGAAAAGCACCTAAGAGCTATTCCCTCAGGTAATAGCTTACTCAATATTCTTTTCACAGTGATGAAAGGGAGTGTGCTTCTGGTACCACTTGCCTCTGACTTGGGAAGAAAAACAAGGACCAGAAGCTGACAAGGAATCAATTTTTCGCACTTATTTTGTGCAAATGACTTTACCTCAATTGCTCAAAAATCTCAAGCTCAGGGTAYTCCTGTACTTTTATTCTTGTTTTATTCACTGTATATTGCTAGAAAAAATACTGCAAATCTGATTTCAGCCTGTATCCCAAGTGAATTACATAGGAAGAGCCTGTCTTGGCTGAAGCAATACTCTAGAAACAGTTGTTTCAGTCTCTGAACTAAGGGGAAGTTCTCATAGCAAAGTTCTAATCACTTGGAATAGTCAATAGTGATGGCTCAGAAATCACAGAAGTTTTTTCTTTGCCAAAATAAGTACAAGGAGAAGAAATGCTATCTGGACTTAATTCAGCTCTGGAGTAAAAAAGGTACAGCTTGGCTGCCCTGCATAGGATAACACCACCAGTTTTTAGAACAGACAGATGAGTGTATATCTCTTCGTATCTATCCTGTAATTTTTCATGACTGTCACCTAAAAAATTATCTTCAGGAGGGAAAGGTATTTTCAATTCACTTYTACTGGTCATTGGCATTTCTGCTTAAAAGCTTCCACAAGGTTTTACAGTAATTGTTTCATCTGCTGAAATCAGTGTGAAACCAGAAGTTCGTATCAGTAACCCACCAAGCATCTGTCAAAAAAAACCACATTTAATTTGTCATAAACAAGCTTGGATTTGTTTGGATTTGCACAATTCAGAGTGAAATGTGATATTACCAATCACCTGAGCAAATSAGTCAGTCTCCAAGAAGCTTTCACCATTTGCAAATCAAAATATCGTCTGATCTACAGCAATAATCAACAGTTTTGTTTTCATAAATTAATACATTTTTACTTGCATAGAAATTTAAATTCATGCAGATTCACTTTTCATTACTTACAGTTTTGTTTATTTTCTTGGACTATTTTGTAGATGACCATTGAAATAGTAAACACAAAAACTACTGGRATCATAGTGAGCCAAGTGATCTTCATCATACACATTGGATCTGTCCATAAAATGTAGAAGAGAGAAAATTAAACAACCAATCACTGACAGTGAAAAGCAGAACATTCCATCTTGATAGGTTTTTGGATMATGCTTATCCCCACAGATAAACATAAAACAAAATTTTAAAAAAAGGCATTATGCCTTTTTTCATTCAGCTTTCTCTGGGTTTTGATGTCAGGTTTCCCATCTAGATTTTAGCTTAATTTCCACCTGTRTTTACCTCCCCAAAGCTAACATAGTTACAGATGGCTAAGCGAATGAAAACTTTTCAACTCAGCCAATGAAAATGCTTCAAAGATCAGCATTTATATTTGAGGTAGAACAAGGGTAATCCATCTCCCCTCTGTCTGGATAGAGCATGGAAGGAATTTGTCAGCTGTCCAACATTGGCCTGGACTGGCATTCTTAACCTCCTGGTACATCTTCATATACGAGGGAAGGCAGGATTCTACATATAGKTATTTTCTTATTAAAAGAAGTGAGGAAATTCCACCAACAGGAGCCCTTTGGGGAGTTCCTTTAACTAAAGTTGCTTTGGGGGAGAACTGCATGGGATGGATGCCGGAGGGAGACTGCTCTTTCAGACAGCAACTGCAGGAATGCACCTGCATCTGCATTCCACAGGGAATTGGGTAAAGAACTATTACAAGCCAGGACTATATACAATAAAGAATCAATGTGGGGAACTTTTCTCTCTGGTTGTTTGCRTGGTCTTTCAAACCTCTTTGGCAGCTGCATGTTAATACATAGMTTAGCATTGTGAAATAACTGTTTTGAAAAACAGCCATGTTACTGTGACTCATAAAAATCAAATTACAGACTGTAGCCAAACCACTGTTTTCCTTTCCTTGACTTAGAACTGTGTAATTAGACCTACACTGACTTCCCTTGTATCTTCTCCATTGAGAACTTATGAGGTAAATGCCAACAACCCCATGGCTTATCCTTCCTAATTTAGAACCATAAATGTTTTTTATACAGAAACCCAGGCTCTTTTAAACAGAGCGCTATACCCCATCTTGTAGTGCCTTGTAGTGACTTGAGTATCAACCTTGATCAGTAAAAGCCCTGAGCAACTCTTTAGCTTTGTTTTGGAATAAAGAGAAAAAAAAAAAAGATGCGTTGTTTATTTTCATTGCTAATTTGAGATAACTACTACCCAGGTAAATCAATATTAGCAAAGGGTGGTTAGCTCATAGTATTGACACAAGTTAGCAGGGCAAGTTACAAACTATGTTCCTCTTTTGGCTAGACACACTTAGTTTAAAAAAAAAATAAAATAAAAAAAAATAGTCCTAAAATGCCCTTTCAGCTCTAGGATTTTTTCTGGACTTATTTAACATATGTTAAGCCAGGTCGAAAAAACATGTTTCTTTCCAGCAAAGGTACAGCATATAATGCAGTTGCCAGGCAAAACCAAATAAATGTAATAATTCAGCAGTTTCCAAATGGTAAGTGTTGCATATAGACAGGAGAGAAGCCCTGACCATTGTCAGGCAATCAGACAAAAAACTCCTGCAGCACGAAGAGAAATACAAAAACCTGAAGGTTGTCSTCTGGGAAAACTAAGCTTAGTTCAGCTGAAAATTTATCTTTTAAGCATATTGCARTGAGGCCATATAGTAGGATATTGCAGTACAATGTTAAGAGTGGTCAAATCTATCTATCTCCTAGTTCTTCTATCACTGTAGTTAACAGSGATTTTTAAATTTATCTCCAAAACAACAGGGCTATGTCATTATTAGGAAAGGGAAGATTGTATTTCCAGGTTTTGTCACATGTAATTTGTGAGTCTATTGCTCCTAAGCAAAAAACAATGTATAGACATTTACTTTGCTGTATTTCTTCTAGGAAAAAAAAGGCCACAGCTAAACCTGCTTTAAATACCTATAAAAATCATCTGTTGTCAACTAAAGGTTTTTCTTAACTTAGGGATGTTCAAAGTTGTATTCTCTTCTTGTGAAATATTTAAATATGTTCAAATGGTTGCTGAAAGCAGAGAACTACCTACTGGATATTTTTTGCAAGATTATATTGTCYCTGGTTTGATTTCCATTCTGACTCTCCTTTGTAACTTACATTCCATGTAGGACTTCAGTTGCAGTGARATATTTATACAGTCATTTTGGTCTTCCATCATTGCCACTAGACAAGAATKATTTAGTTGTTCTGCTGCATTTCCTCCTCTGATGATAGAATTGTTGATGTGGATTTCCATCAGGTAGTAAGTGTTATGGTCCACTTCTTTCTTGGAAACAGTAGTGGAATTAAAATACTTATAAAAATAAGTAACATCTTCTGTTTTCACTYCAAGTGAGCCTTTTGCTTTTGGAAATAAAAGTGAAAACAAAACTATTATACAAGTGGTAGGCCAAGAGTCAACTCTCAAAAAACCCAGTGCGTTCTCTGTCTCATTTGCAAAAAMATACAGGTTTCTACATCACTGACTATGAAAAAAGGTGGATAAATGCACACTCTGTAAAGTTACTCTGAAAAAATCTGAACAGCATTATCTACACAAGATTCATTTTCCATGCAAATTATAGCATTTTTTCTTTATCAGCTTTTCGGTATTCTGTTGTTTTTGTTGTCAGTTGACAAAGGCAACAGGCAAAAATCAGGCCATGAAAAAGAACCCAAGTAAAAGCCATATGATGATAGAGACATGAAGTGTGCATGTAGTCTATCTGCTATCAGTTGCAGGATGTCCTTGCTTCACTTCAAACCACACAAGCTGCAAGACTTGTGCTGTGTTTACAAGAAACATAAACTTTGAGACATTGTGAAAATGTTTGAATTGTACAGGTATAACTGAGAACAGAGTTTGTCCACATAAAACTTTCTTTTTTCGTACTTTTTAAGACAGCTATTTTGTAATAATAAAAATATGCAGTTGGAAAATAACTGAATTTCTTATATTCAGGACTCAGCCTATTGCYCCTTTTGCTGACAATGTTAGGAAGAGGTATCCTCTTCCCCAAAGATTTCCAGTTATTTGCAAGTGTATATGGCACAGAAGAATTATGCTGCTACTGCTCTGAAAAGATGTGGGAGTTGCTAACTCTCCTCTGCATTGCTGTGCCATCCTTTATTCAGTGGTGCTTTCTATAAAACATGTAAGGCCATTTCTGATACTGTGGGTAACGTAGACTACAAACCAAAAAAGGGTTTTTCTTACATAGCTTCCCTCAGAATAGTTACCAACTGAATTAGTTCTTCAGACACTTGCTCACCACCTGTYTTCATAATACCAGCAATCTACATGTAGAGTTCCACAATGGCATTTTTAAATTCTTTTTAAAAGAAAAATCAGCTTGAAACATTGTGAGAAAGTACAACTCCTTAGCAATAAATTAAGTTCTGTTGAAAATTTAGCAAGATTAAAAGAACAAAGATGGTGTTATAAAAGTGAGCATAAAAGCCAGATGGCAGAGGCCAGATTTGTAACGGAAATATTCCAGGTGGCTGCTGGATAAGGCTCTCTTCTCACAGCACCCTCTTTCCAGACCAGTACAAAGCCCCATGATAATCGGGATAATGACCTAACAGCCCCCTCCCCATTTTACCCAAAATCCTCAAACAAAAGAAATCAGCATTTTGCTACCTACATGTTTCACTGACAGCCAGGAATGAATGCCACTGAAAATCTGGCAAAAATAYGCATTTTCTAGCCATGCAAAGACAAGTTAAAAACCCCCACTGTTCACAGATTTGCAAAGACCATGGAGAACCAGGAGCACATTATAATTTTCTTTTAAGCACCAAATAAAAGCACATCTTTTATTTTTTAATTAGCTACATCAAAATTAAGTATTTCTCTTGTTCTACTTACTTTTTTTAGCTATTGACCCTGATCCTTGATGATCAACATTCACATCCCTCTTCGATTCACACTCTGTCTGTTTAGTATGGGACTCTTGTTCCCTCCTGGACGACTGGGAAATACATTGACTATTTTGGAAATTGGAATTATTTACAATGACCTTCAGCAKAATAGTCTGGTTTTCTGTTCTTCGTTGCAGTGATCTTTTGTAAGAATTGTTAAAAGTACAAAGTGGAAAAGTGATGTTATTTGACGAACAAGTATCCATGCATGACACAATTACAGTGTTCACTGTAAAAGAAAGAGTACTATATTAGCAAGAGAGTAATATAGGACACATGGACAATATGTACTAAGAAGCATCATGTAGTGGATATTCCAACCTTCTTATGATGAAATGCACCTTCTTTTCTTGAGGATTTTGACAGGATGTTGAATGCATCATCTGTAAGAGATAGTAAGCACAGTCTTCYCACAACCTAGAGGCTGAATTTTATTTGCTGAATTGTATGAAAACTCTTGTAATAGTAACTGGAATTTGTGATAGTATCTAGTCACATTCCTGTTTCAAAGCTTCTCCAATCTGACTGTTCTTCAGAAAAAGAGAAAGAGCATGTTTGCTTCTTCAAAAGARGAGAAAGCATGTTAATGCTGTTGAATCCTCCAGCCACACCCTTCACATTCTCTTATATTCAGTCAAAAAATATGAATTTATATTATGACCATTGGGTTTGGTATTCATAGTCAAATTTCAGTATCAAAGTACTATAGCTGAAGTACATTAATGCAGTCCTGGCAAGCAGCAAAAGTCGGTAGTTCTAAATGAGTGTGACATGTCCTYCACATTACAGTAGGGCTTTGTCACGCAAAATTTTCCTTGTGCTAACTTTGAATTACTTTTTCAGCTTTAAAAAAAAATCAAGAATAAAAACACTTGTGCGACCCCACCCAACATGAAATATGTATTTATGAATAACCACTTCCCAGAGCTGATGCAGCACTAACCTATGGTTTTGTAGCTATATTTCCAATTCTAGTCATACCCTTACATCTCTGTAAAGGGAAAATTTTGTATTTAACTCCCGTTATGAAAAACTGGAGCAATGTGTTCATAAATCCTTATGCATAGAGAGAAAAATACAGCCTTTAGTTGCTCCCGTGCTCAGCTGCAATCTGACAGCTTTAACAGACCACCTGTGTTCACTGAGCAGCAGGCTGACCTCAGAAACAGTCAGGGATTCCAGACAGGATGCAGAAATAATATCCAAACTCCAGTGCTAAAGTCAGTTATCTTCCCTTTACTAACACCACATCAGAGAGTCATAAACTCCTTATAAAACATTAAAAAAAATTGAAATGTAAAACATGCAAGTAAGAAAAAGTTAATTTTGATATAAAAACGAAAAATAACAGACAAAATTTAGGACTTGATCTTTCTGTGAGGCAAGCCAAAGTATTTTCCTCTATATGCTTACAATCTCATCCATACAATAGGGCATGGAGATGGCTTCTGAGATCAAATTCTTCCACCTGAAAGAGGCATTTTGTGTAGAACTTGTCTGTGGAGATTAGCCAGAAGCAAAAATGGAATGTTCACTCTCTTCTCATGGCAAGCCATGACATCGAGGCAACCAGTCTACAACCACTGCTATAGCTTTCAAGGGCAACTAATCATAATTCCCTAACATATCCTTTTCACCAAGATCTCTGTACAGAGACTTAGGAATCCACTGGAGTATGACAGCCCTCTATGTTCAGCACTGGGAAGTCCATTTTGAACTTTACAAAGTTAGGCTAAAGGCGAAACAGGCTCCAGAGCTGCCTGTGAGCCATCCTGCAGGTATGTAAAAGGCATGTTATCTGTGTGAATGTTGTCAAGTTAGGGAGGGTGCTTACCATCCTCTTGAAATATCTCTGCTGAGAAAGCCAATCAAATTACAATCTAGCATAAACAAGCTTTCTTTTTCCATGTCTCAGGACTGTGGCCTTTCTGAGGAGGGCTGCAACAACACTATAYTTTCCCAGTGGATTACATGGCAGACAAGAGAGCCATACCATTCCCATGAGGTTTGCTCCATACTGCAGGACTGGGAAGCACCCTCCCAAATGTAAACATCACTCTAGAAATGTGGAAAGGGTTTTGTGAAACCTGAATGCAGGCAGCCAGAATAATGAAGAGGATTGCTGAGATGAAACAATGCAAAGTAAYTCTAGAAAATATTTTTATATTCAAAAACCTGCAACCACATGCTTAATGTTAGGAAGTTCTGTGAATATTAAATTCTTCTATTAAACCTCTATTTACAGGGTTTTTCGTGTCAAATCCAATTCCATTAAAATTAAATTTCTCCCAGGGAAGATCAAAATTTGTAAAAAACTTGCTTGTGATAAGAAAATCACAAACATTTAACTTTGCATGGACTTGASTCTTTTTCATTTGATCTATAATACTCTATTTTGAATCAGAGCAGCAGTATACAGTTGCATTTTTTATCACTTCCTTATGGAAGCTGTAGTCACCCCATAAAATTKTAGAGATACAAGACCTACAGTACAAGTTGGGGACTACACAACTGATAGATTAAAGGAGATATGCTCCATCAAGTAGCAGGACCCAAGGGATAGGACTGGGATTGAAAGCATCAGATTCCAAAAGGACAACCTCCTACTCTAAATCAGTGTAATTTAAAGGTTCAATGACTCGTAACCAAATAAATGAGTTGCTTTACAAATATAAGGGAGACATTTCACTTTTGATAATGCTGAACTGTACTCTTTTGAAAAAAAAAAAATGTAAAGGCTTGTTTTTTGCAAATTGATTCCCCCCTAAATTGCTGTTTAATGAGAAATTTTCATTTTTATTCCCTCTCCAGAATGGAAGTAAATGCTGGAACTTCCCCTGGGATAGGACATCCAGGAATTAGGAGCTTTCTGCCATTCATTTAGGAATGGCTCACAGAGGAAAATCCAGTGATTACATTTCACATGTCAAAGATTTCCAACAACTCTGTCTTCTGAAGCCTCATGGTGTAATCAATTTGAAACATCTACAAAAAATCCTATGCAATTTAGGTTTGTCACAAAATCTGAAATAAAACCAGTTTTCAACAGAAGATTTTTGATGAACCAGAGAGCCACAATCCTTAGGGATTTTGAATAAATCATTCAACATATTTACTTTCTAATGTAATTCAGACATCATTACACAGTTTGTCRTATAGCCATTTAGTTTTTAAAACATCCAAAATGCAGCAATAATTCTAATTTTCCAAATATAAATCTGTGCTGCTCCAACTATAATTCTATTCTGCTCATATACTTTCCAATCTTATTTTAGACATGCTGTGATTAAGACAGAATTGCAGTGATCACACTATTTCAGCCTAAAGCATTGCCAATAAAAGCAATATAGAAAAAATCATCATGAAAAAATGCAATTACTCTTTGATGTTTGACACTAAGGCTAATGTTTTCTTCTGGTAAYAGTCATGCAATTGTTTATTTACATAATCTGTGCTAGAAATACTTTGTTTACTTCTGCATGGAGGTAAAACATTAATTATTCCAACATCTTAAACTGATTTATCAATGTTATGATATTCAAAACTTATAACAGTTTACCAAGTTTGGTCATTTGTAAACTATAAAAATCTATACATTATATTCTAATTACTGACATGTCCATTCTTCATGGATAATGAAAAAAAAATGTAAGTAATCTAATCTGTTACTAATTTTGATACTAATTTGTTTTAAATTATGCTTCATAAAGAAATTATGATGCCTGAGAATACACTTTCTGTCAAAGGGATGCTTTTTATGATTTATTTATTCAAAAGCTTTCTTAGGAATGGATGTGCAAAACAGTTTTAAAATTAATTTACTCATGGATTTTTTAAAAAGCACTGAATACATAATTTGCATATATGTGCACTTTGCATTTGTCCTAAATCCAATGTCAGCCTTTAGGATCTACTAGGAAAGAAGTATTTGGCATTTATGCTACAAGATTTGCTTTACTCAGCTACACCAATTCTGCTCTACTTTTTGTCAGATTGCCACCAAAGCATATCTCTGTCACAGACAGCATCTCATGACCAGATAGTAATTGCACAAAGTTTCACAGCATTTAAGTACAAAAACTTCTAAAAAGTTATTCTTGAAGACATGAGCACCTGTTATAAAAGAACATAAGCACTTTTTCTTCATGATAAAGGCAGTAAAAATACTCTTGCATGGAAATAGTTACCAAAAAATTTGCARTGTATGTAAATGAATGACAAACTCCTTTATAATTATGACATATAATTAACTTCATTGGTTAAATCTAACAAAAGGAGTCTATAGCCTTTACCAAGTCCACCACGTGTGGAGCGCAGAATCCTAATCATTGCTTTTAGTAAGGCATACGCCAACTTTTCAATTGCAGACTTCAGAATAAATAAAAGGTTATTTTAAAAGCTGATCACTCACCTTCATGTGTTTTGAAAAATTCAGGTAAACACAAAATAAACATGGTAATTATTCCTAGTGCTAATCTGAAGACTACTGGTTTTCTCAAAAAGAAGCACATGTCACTGAAGGACTCCCATCTAGCAGTGGTGGTAACTTCCTTCCTGGTTTAGCTTTTAACTTAGACATTATGCAAAATAACATTTATTCATTTCCTTTTCTTCTAATGACTTTCCTTTTTACTTCTCATGACATTAAGCTGCAGAAAGCCACATTCTATTCTTGCATTGGCTTAAATGAGGATGATTCATTTGAATAYGCTGAAGATAAAATTCATGTACCACAATGAAAATAAGAGAAAAAATTAAGAGAAACTAATTTGTATGTGGTAATTTTGCTTTAAGAACCCCCTTATAACCACTTCCACACACCTTTTAAACAGTAAATTAATTATCTTTGGGAAGAAATCTTGTTCTCATTTGGCCAGGAAGATTTTTTTAAAAATGAGTCAGACCCTCATTATAAAAATTAGTCAGAACCACATGAGTCACTTATGGGGATTTTATTGTTTTATTTATATACATTTGCATGGGGCTAGGTGGAAGACAATGTTATGTAATAGAGAATCTTTCAGACTTTATTAGACTACTAATTTGATCATTACCATCTAAAGTTTTTGAYCTGGCAATAAGTGATATACAAAGTACAATGAACTGCAGATGAGTTGTTCATACTATCAATGCTGCTGTACGTTTAAAAGATGACAGATGTGTTGCCAATCTGTCAAGTGTCTTCAGTGTGCATTTTATTATTCTTTACACYACAAAAAGACTGGATACAGCAGTTGCTATTTCTATACATCATAGTCACATTTTTTCAGCTACACTTTCCAAGTAGAAGTGAAGTATGTAATTTTGACAACCACCATGATATTCTATAAATTCTTCTTATAGGTGAGACAGCAAAGAACATTTCTGAAATGTTCTGAATAAAAGTACTCTGAATAATGCATATGTAAAAACAAACAACTTGACTCAAATATAGAGTATATACAGCACAAAGGATTTAATTAATTCAGAAAGCTGTCTTCTGATGTATTTTTCCCACAACCCATTAAATATTGAGTATTATTCAAATGAAGCAATACTGTTGAAATTAAAATAAGAATTCCCCTGTAAACTTGAAATGCTCTTCTTATCATCTAGTTATCTCAGAAGATGAGTAAGGTAAGTGGAAGAAAATACAGTATTCATTCCACAGAAAGAGTCCTAATGAAGCTGTAGTGAATATAAATTTATTAATATGATATTTTAAATGTAGCACTTTTATGCAATGAAAGCAATGAAATCAGAGCAAAATGAACTCTGATTATTTTGACAGTACAGTATAATRGAAGCAATGGGATACAAAAAATCACAGGCATGCATTTTAAAAGTAGAACACTATGCAATTTATATGTCACCCATTAGCAAATTACTTCTACTTTGGTTTTGCTAATTTGCATTGCCCTTTAAGTATCTTTTGGATCAGTTACTTATATTTTCCTSTTTTCAGGGTTGTGTGGTGTTCACCCATCCTATCTGCGCAGAAGTAATGGAGAAAATACTGGAAAACAGCAGGAGGTTTCTTCAAGTACTATGTGTATCTGTGTCTTTCTGATACAGACTGTCACTGCTGATCATAATGCTCAGCAGTGATATTGCCCTATGTGATCCCGGCCAAGCTCAGGCTGATACAGAATTGGCCTGTGGAATAAGTTGGGCTTCAGAGTCTACAGAAAGTGGCTTCCAAGAACTCTGCAGAAAGAAGATGGGWAATATCTATTTTAGGGCTATTGTGGTGTCAGATTTTAGTTTAGTTTCTGCATTCAGAGTGCCCATATATGATCTGTCTGCTCATTCCCCAGGGACACCATAAGCATTAGATGCTGCTACCCTATTCTGACCTCTTCAGACACTGCTACCTACTGGGCAGTTCACTCTGTATGTGTGTGTGTGWGAGAGAGAACAGGCTGAATCACAAGTGAGTGGCCTGGCCACACACAGACCTCCTGGAAAACGTGAGAACATGAGCTTTCTTTCCTGGACACAAGCTTCCCTCCACTTAGCTAGGAATTYTTACACAGGTGGAACAACTAGCATCTTCGAAAATCTTATCCTTCAGTCCAATTTAGTCAAAACTGGCTCAGGCATTTAATGCCAGCTGKGATGAGAACTGTCAGGTGAAGCGCACAGCTGCCCAGGCCACATTTCTGAGCAGAATGAGGCACAAGAAGCTCTGTGTACCTCCTTACTGCATCAAACCTGCACTGCCATGCCTCAGCTATGGCCTCCTCTACCCTTAAATCAGTTTTAGCAGTTGGAGGTGCATCTGGCTGTCACACAGTCTATTAATTTGGAAAATTATTCAGCCTTTGGATGGCAGYGGTCACTGGTAAAACACTGTGACGAGGGCAGGAAACGCTGCGTGTGTTTGCACATGAGGCCGTTAGGACCGGCTGTCTCAGCATGGAGTACGGGCTCCTGAGAGGAGGCTTAAAGCTGCGGTGTGTATTACCACAKGTTTATTTCTCTTAAATGGGACAGCGGGCAGCTACGGAAGTGTCTGGCTCCGTGCTTTGAAAGACAGGCAAGGACACGCAGGGACAGGATCAGGTGCCTCTTCTGCCGCTTCTCCTGCCCCGTCGCCAGGGTGCGCGCGGAGCGAGCGGCGCCTTAGCCTGAGGGGAGCGGCCCCGGCTCCGCCCCGCCACACGCGGCACGCGCCGCTCCCGCCCCGGGCAGGGGGCGGGGCCTTGGGCTGTGGGCGTGTCCCGCTCTGGCCCCGCCCCTCTCCGGGCTGCCCGAGAGCAGGGAGGGGCCGGAGCGGGGCCGCGGGGACGCGASAGCGGCGGGCGGGATCGCCCAGTGCCCGCGGCTCCCGGCGGAGCGGGAACGCTGGCGGCCGCCGSGCGGGGCGGGAGGAGAGGGCGCGGGAGGGGACGGGAGAGGGTGCGGGGGCCTTCCTTGCGATTTTTTTCTTTCTCCGCCCCCTCCCAGCCGCGCCCCCTTCCCGGACCGTGAGAGGTGAGAAGGGCGGTCGGGGCTCGGCAGCGAGGGGAGGGGGCCGCGGCTGCTGCGAGGGGGAGGAGAAAGCGAGGAGGAGGAGGAGGAGGAGGAGGGCGAGGGCCGGCGCCTTCGAGGGGTGGGGGCGGGTTCGCCCTCACCGCCGGCGGGCTCACTCTTGCCGGCCGGCTGCGGAGAGCGGCTGTGGCCGCCGCCCCGGGAGGCGCCGGGGGGGCCGGTGTCCGGCCCGGTGGAAGCCGCTGCGCTCGGCGGGGAAGTGCCGGCGCTCGCCCGAGGGGGGCGGGGGCGGCGGGGCGGGACACGGCGCGGGGTCCAGTCTCGCCGAGACGGGCAGCCCCTGTGGCCGGCTCCGTTCCGAGCGGAGACCTGGTAAAAGTGCACTAACACGCTCTGGGGTGCCTGCCCCTGTGTTTCTTAACCTTTACTATCACAGTATGAAATAGCAGAAAACAATTTTTTATTTGAGACTGGTCGAAGACATTAGAGCAGCCACTGACTGCCAACTCACTGCATGGGGAGCGGCRTTATTACACGGGGAACAAAAAGAAGTATGTGTTGAACATCAAACAGCTGCTGATTATATATATTACTGGTTTATGTTTTTTCTTAAAGCGTTTTTGTGGCTTCGGGCTTTGAGCTCGGGCTGGTTGAGCTGTGTGAGCAGCGGGGCAGCCCAGCTGAATCCCAGCCATCCGAGGCCCGTGGTCGGCTCTTTGGGCAATAATGTCAGAACGTAAAGAGAAAGCTTGGCTTTGTTCCTAATGATGAAATTACATGAACCAAATACAGTCATCACACTCTCTGAAGAAAAAAATATCGCTCAGGTCCTCTATGAGCCTGAGCAGGAATAAAAATTTGAACTCATGGTATTGTTGGTGTAGCTTTTCTATCTAGACAAAGTCTATGTATTGTAGGGGTGGATCATTTTTAATTRCAGATCACACGATGTATTTTCATGAGCAGTTCATCAGTTTTTCCAGGAGTAATCCAATCATCTCTCATAAAGGTATTTTTGCCTGGGAATTTCCAGAGGCATATGTGGATTAATATTACCAAAAAAATAGAAGAACAAGAGTACCTTGTTCTTGAACTTTGTAGGTACATTCCTCATAGGCCAGATTGTGCTCCCGTTTTACGTTTTTCCCATTTGCCCCATACTGAACACTGCTAGGGGCCACAAAGCAGGATAAGACCAAAATAATAATAATCATCATMATAATAATCATAATCATCATCCTAATACAAGTCAAATAGTGTTTTCGTCTGCCATGTTCTGTCACCTTCTTTGAACCATCCATCCCTCAGTCATGTCCTCTGGATGGACAGGTCCGCTACCAAAGGCAGCATGTTTACACCATGGCAGTGGACTAACCCATTGTGTTTCACAGAAATGAAACACAAAAAACACAAATGAAACTTTAAAAAAGAAAAGAATTTGAGTGAAGATGGAAGAACATCTTCCATTAGACCATTATGGTCAAACAGGAATTGCCAGCTGTTACTAACAATCACAATTCATATTGGTTGCCTTGTTCCAACTCTCAGGACTGCAGTATGACCCATGCTTTTAAAAAGGTTAKTCTTTGTTTATGTTGATGTCCTGTGGTTTTGTTGATATGGTTCAGTGTTTCATGGTGTGGTAAAGATTACTTAATTGGACATAGCAATGTCTATTGCTATATAGACCCAATAACGACAGTTTATATAGCTCTTAAGAAATTATAATACGATTTTACATTTCCCTTACAAAATTCTCACAGTTTCCTCTTTCCATTGCTTTGCTTTTCCTTACAGCAGTAGAAAAATGCAGTAATTCCAAACCTGATTATCCACAGTTTGCTTTTTTTCATAAGAACAAAATCTTTCATTCAAAGTTACCAGCAAGGCAATGCTGACACATACTTTATTTGGCTGTGTGGCCTTTAAAATCAGTCATATGGGAGACATAAGGTTATGTTCTCCAGATGCGAGAATGAAGTGGGTTTACCATGCAGAAACCTGGAAGGTTCTTGTAGCTATTAAGAGAGATGAGACCTTGAGAGTCAAATATTAAGTATCACATTATGCATGCAGGTATCATGTAAGGCTACTTCCTTTCACTTTAGAGTGCATATAGTAATTTGTTTGGTGCGAGGCCAAAAGGAGGTGCATACTATTTCAGCAGGCTGGATTTTTTGATTAGAGTCTGATTTCGATGAGMAAGTTTTTAGTGGCTTGTAAATAGATAAGGGTTGAGAACCACTGTAACAGTAGGAGTGAATTTTTATAGAGCTGCTCCATTTAGAGAAGCATGTTTAACTGTGATACTTGGCTTTATTCACCAATACAGTTGGTGTTATTCTTTGGCAAAAGTGTTCAGCTTAAGTGCTTCATGTGGCAGATCAATTCTTCACTGCTTTTCTCTTCATGAAAGGAAACCAAAGACAGGGGTGACAGTGGACTAAGATTAATTTTTTTTTTTAAGAGATACTGTCTCCGTAACCTAGTGTTTCTTGAGAAACATCTTGTATTCACATTTTATATTAATTTTCCTGCTTTTTTGGGAGTCTTTGTTGATGGGTATGTAACTGGATGTTATGGAAGAAACTAAGATGACAGTTGTGCAGTGGCACACTTTTATCTCTTCATATTAGCAAGTGTAGAAATCACAACACAAATTGAAAGAAATTCTATCTGAACAGAGTAAGGAATCTGCTTTTGATTTTATTCCTTGATTTTCCCCCCAGTTGATGGTTCTTGCTTGTATTGTTATTTTTTTGCTTCTAGATTTTTTCTGCTACCTCAGTTTTTTTGGAAACAGGAATATAAATGGAACTACCTGATTCTTTGAACAAGTAGAGATGATTCCAGTGTTTTAGGTAAGTATTGTATTTACTCAATTCRTAACATGCCGCAGGGAATGTGATTTTAGCCCACATGGGTACAGAGTTTTCCTTAAACTTAAATTTCATCCTTTCTTTTGTTATATTGCACATCTTGCAAGGGCTTCTTTCTGGCAAGTGTGCATAAGCAGGAATGACTTCGCTTTTGTGGGYTTCATGTGCTAGTGTTTGGACCATTTTTATGTGATTTCATCACTTCTGTTCTTTATTAAAGCATACTTTATAGAAGACTGTCAGCATTACTGTAAAGTTCAATTTTGATCTTTTCAAAATGCATGAGAAGCCTTTGAGTCTTAATCATTATAGGAAAAACAGGAAAATTGATACTGAGTGTTAGAGAAAATACTGCTCTGTAGAAATTCTTATGAATAAAGGCCCACCAAACGTACAATCAAATCTCATTATTTCAGTAATACTRACTGGCTTTCACTTTATTTCATTCTTTTAGCAGGAAGATAGTAAGACTTCTAAGCAAAAGTAATTTTCAAAGGGAATAGCTTTGACATTTGCACAAAGCAAAAGGATAAAAGAATGTTGAAAACTTGAATACATACAAGAATCTAGCTTTATCTGAACTCTAKAAAGTAAAATACTGCTGAAAAATTAGTTCTAAGGATGACAAAAGCAATCCAATTAATTTAGAAGCACTAGGTTTTACTGAAGTGAAAAAAACTGCTTTCTTGACAGTGAGATTTCTCTGCTTTGGGAATGTTGATAAAAAAGCACATTCCTTTAGAATTTACTCATTTGATACAAATAGAGAAGATAGATGGTCTTTCTCCCTGTTTGTATCATGATCAGTCCCATTGTTTCCCTCCTCAGTCAATCCAAATCCTTACTGGTATCTTCTACCCTAGATTACATCAACACTTTCCTGAGCTTTAAAAATTGTTAGAACTGAAAAGAAATTTCCTCAGAAATTACTTTGTGAACTGACTTTGTGTTTTCACTGCTTTACAGTAGTTCAAAATGTGGTAGCACCACCTACCAAAATGGCCAACCTCCTCCACGTTGTCAGAATTTTTAGACTTGACTTTCATCCTTTCTGCAGTGGTCATTTGAAACAAATCCCAAAATGTACTCCAAAGAGAAGGAACTGAAAAGGTTAGTCAGTATGGGATAGATCTTTATCCCCAGCTTACTGCAAGGTAGAATACATTATCAAGCAGGGCTGATGATTATTGATTATGTTTTATGGACTTTGCTGGCATTTTTTCCATAGGACAAATTTCTTTAAAGTTCAGTATTGATTTCAGTCTGTTGAGAGGAATACTTTGCCAGTTAATAACCTCTTCTGGAAATTCTAAGCAAAACTGATTTTAAAAATCATGATGTCTTCCATAACAATAAGATAGACTCAAAAGAAAAAAAATTTAGTAGTTTGGATTCTTCCAACAGCATCCATCAGATTTTCAGAGTTAATGGAAAACTGTTTATAAAATTGTACAGAATGTTTTTGTAAAACAGCGAAATTTAAGGTAGAGTGAGTACTGGCTTAATTTCTTTGAAAATGTGTGTGCATAGACTTGTCTCACTACCTTAGCTGATGCTTTTGTCAAAATAGCAAAYATACATTGTATTGACTCTGTTGAAAAGAACTTAGTAAGGGACAATGATATAATCTGTCTAGAACAGATTTGAGTTGGAAGAGTTGGGTGGAAGTAGTATCATTCACTACAATTAAAAAAGTTTACACCATTCTTGGACTCAACAAAAACTTGTTAAAATCAGACTGAAGTATGGCCTTAAAACAGATTAAATATTCACAGGACCCRGCTGTGTCATATGATACATATTCATAGTGTAGAGTAAGACAAGACTCAAGTCCATAGAAATTTACTAACCTGAACTGTAAAGAATACAAATAGTCATATGGCTGAATTAGCAAATTAGTTAAAAGTTTACAAGTATGTGGTGCGGATATGTAGGAGAAGCTCATGGGAAGATGAGATTTTTATCAGTGGTTTTGATGATTTTTGATGATTGCATTGTTTGCAAGCAAGTTCTTACCTGTTACCAGAGTGGACTTTGATTTGCTTTATGTTGATTTTTGCACAAATAAGCTGTTACACTGACAGTTGCTGAGAGACACTGTATAACTGTTATTTGTTAGATCCTTATGCATTTGTCTGGTAGGTATTCTAAAATGTATTATAATATTCTAAAATAAATACTTTTGAATATTAAATGATCACTTTGTCCTTGCCAAAGTTTACATCTTGCTCTTTTACATGCAGTACAGGAAAATATATTTTTGGATGTAAATGTAATCACAAGCTTTTKTATTCAAACAATAATGAGAGAATTAAGTAGGTAGGGCATTTCATAATGTTATCATAACTTGATGTCTTGGCAAGATCTTCACCAAGCACCATAGCATTTTAAACTTGGAAGTATTTTYCAAGGAAATAAAAGCAATTAACTAAAGTTAGTCTATGAGTTGATAAACATGTGGGCAGATTAAGTGATAAGTAATAGAGCTTCACTTTGTACCTCCTCTCACTCCCTGTTAATATTTGTAATTTACAAATACAAACTGAAGTTGCACCTTTGCATGAGAAGCTGATGGTTCAACCAAAGGGCAATTGTACTTAAACCAGATAAAGTGGTAGTTTAATTAAATATTCAAACATCATTGTTTGAAAACATGTAAGCTCAATGAATGAAAAATTCTGAAATGAAAAATTAAGGAAAATTTTTTTCAAAATACTTAATGCTAAGTGAAGAATTTTTAGAACTTTGAGCTAGTGGAGAAAATAGATGGACAAATGATTACAGACCATACAAATCTGAGGAAATCTATGTGCATGAATACAACACACAGTTTTGTTTTCCTCTTAACAAATGGCCAGAGTTGAGATGAGAGAATGGAAAAAACCCAYATGATAAGCATATAATTAACGTTTTTTATTGATTATACTTTCTCCTTCTGACAGTTTAGCAATCTGGATTCAAGACTTTTCCCTTTTCTGAGCATGCTACTTCAGTAGCGGACCTCGTGCCCCTGGGTGTGCCCTTTGTTCTTCCTGGCACTTTCTTTCTATTGCTCATGTCTAGTTTTTACTGTCTGTGCAGAACAGGAAACATTTAAGGATTCTTTCAAAAACAGGGGTAAGGCAACTAAGATGGAATCAATATGCTGTTTAGGATAGTTGAACAGTTAACTCTGCAAGTACTTCAGTAATTTAAAGCTTTAATAGGTGGTTAGATTTCTGCCTTTGTTGCCTCKGTCCTTAACTCATTTTAGTTTTACACAGTCATGGAAGGGTAGGAGCTCAGAGCTGTGTTTGAACAATCAGTCAGCTACTGTGTTGATTTCTGTTCTACTGTGTTTGTAAATCCTGGGCTTAGGCAATATGTAGCCACCCAGGATAAAGCAATTGTGTGTACTCATAAGAAAAAGATAGGCAGCTTGTGAGTCTGTAAATTCCCCGGGCAAGTTGGGTTTATGTCTTGTGGTTTAGTCAGTTCCTCACTAATAACATTTCTGTCTACTTGSCAATTTCAGTCAAACTCTGACAGAACTGAGCCCTGGTTGTGTTTAAATTCCTGAAAGGTTTTGAAAATATAGGTAGGTAAAAGGAAGGCCAAATAAGTGATATTACTTGACCTGCCAGCTGATGAGCATATTGGTTCTTGGTCTGAATATGACAGAGTTTGCTTGTCCTGTCTGTTCTGGTACTTAGTAGGGGGGGTTTGCATGCATGTGGGATAAGGGMGACTACGTGAGATGTCGTACAGAACTGTAGTTATTATCAGAAGAACCTGTAAAATAAATAATAGTGGGGAATCTGAGATTACTTTCACACAAAACTGTTGAGATAAAGAACCTAAGAAACCAGTTTTCTGATTATGGTTAGGAATACATGGTGTCTTGATGCATAGCTTAACCTGAGATTTAATAGTATCCAAGTGTAGAATTAAGAGATATTTTTCCTTATGTGCCTCAGATTTATACTGTTTGAAGCAATGTKGATCCAGGCAGAGGACTAGTTTTGTTCTAGATTGAAGAGGGTAGTTAAATATACTGTGGTTTGTTCTGCTTTTTTTTTTTCCTAATAATACTTCATTGAGCCAAAATCACTAGTAAAATCAATGGGAGCCTTTAATTACTATSTCCAATTTAATCATCTTGCTTTTATAATATTGTAACATGAAAAATCTATCAAGTTATAATGCTTATAATAAAAGCAAGTAATACAAGGCATTTTATTGTGTATGTATAAACCTATATGTATAATCCTAATTAAAAATCTCTGGGACCACTTGATTATGAATACTGCTCTCTGGTATTGATCTCTCATTTCAGTGCTTTGTTTCCAAGTATAGCTACTGCTATAAATGTCACTTTTTATGGAGAAATACAGTAGAAGAGTTGGGTTTTCTACTGTACAAGATAATACCTTCTAGTAATGATTGGGGGTTCCCAGCTGACCTGCTGGTGGGGCAAGTCCAGAGTCGGGCCACCAAGCTGATCAGAGGGATGGAGTACTTCTTTAATGAGGAAAGGCTAAGGGAACTGAGCTTGTTCAACCTAGAGAAGAGAAGGCTTTGGGGTGACCTATTTGTGGGTCTTTCAGTACCTGAAGAGAGCCTACAAGAAAGATGGTGAGAGACTTTTATGAGGGAATGTAGTGGTACAATTAGGGGGGATAGCTTTAAAATGGAAGAGACTAGGTTTAGATTAAATATTAGGAAGAAATCATTTRCTGTGAGGGTGGTGAAGTGCTGGAACAAGTTGCCCAGAGAAGCTGTGAATGCCCGCTCCCTGGAAGTGTTCAAAGCCAGGTTGATGGGGGGGCTCTGAGCAACCTGGTCTCRTGGACAGTGTCCTTGCCCATGGCAAGGAGGTTGAAACAAGATGAACTTCAAGGTCCCATCCAAACAAGCCTTTCTATAATTCTCCAGTTCTGCATCTGTCAGCTACTAGTCTAATTATAAACAGGATTACTTGTTGATTTGTCTCACTAGTCCTTAATTACAATATGCTCTTTTAAAAATCTTTACTATAATACCTGTATTTCATAAGAAATCAAAATAATTTTTGTGTGGCATTTCTTGCATAGTCATTGCTTCATCTCTGTTCACTGAACTGTATTAGGAGCAATCATCATTGCTAACCTGAATTGGAAGAATGCTGTTCTGTACCATACCATTGTATTAAAGTCTATCATATTCATTCAGAGTTGGCATAGAAAATCTAAATATCATACTGGAGGGGTGAGAACATGTGCGCACACATTATCCTTTTGATAACGTTCTAATGAAATGCTTCTAAAGTATTTCTTTAAAAAGTAAGGCTCTTTTTCCTTTTTTTATATGTATAAAAATATTCTAATTAACATCTCATTAATATGAGAATAACCTATTATGGAGCATAATTCCCATTCAGTAGTGTGAAACACTTGTGTTTAATTSCTCACCTCCTGTACACGTAATTACCATAGCTGGCAGTCATCTGCTTTACTTGTAAGAGCCATAACTACAAACTGGCAGTCTATCAAAGTATTTTCTTTTTTATCTATCTGTCTAACCTTGACCTTACCAAAATGGTTTATTTCTATCCAGACATTACTCTTAAGGCTCTAATGGCATGAAGGCACTTAATCAATGTGAGTGCATGAATAGAATTAGGATGCTCATTTGATATATTATGTTGCTGTCATGTGACTTGTGTGATAAATGCAGATTGTTTTTGAGGAAAATAATTTTTTACTTGTCACAGCAACCATTCCTGCAAAGCTGGGCTATGGAAAGGACATGAATAAGTCTATGGAATAAGTAGATGATGGTCAACTAGGTATTTGATTTCTTTTTTTCCACCTTACAAACTGATCGATRTTTCACAGAATCACAGAATGATTGAGATTGGAAAGAATCTCCGGAGGTCATTTGGTCCACCTTCTCCCCTACTCAAGTGGGGTCACAAAGAGCAAGCTGCCCAGGACCATGTCCAGACAGCTTTTGAATATCTCCAAGGATATAGATCCCACAGCCTTCCTGGGCAACCTGTAGTTGGTCATCCTCACAGTGAACATGTATTTCCTCATGTTTAAGTGTTGTGTTTTAGTTGTTGCCTATTGACTCTTCTCTTGTCATTGGACGTACCTGAAAACCTTGGCTCCATTTTTTTTKAATCTTCCTTTCAGATATTCATGCACATTGATGAGACCCCCCCGAGGTGTCTTTTGGTGTTAAATGATTCCTTTAGAATGCTCATCTGTGTCTTGAAATATTTTGCTTCAGTAGCTGTGGCATTGCATAGCTTGACATTTAAATACAGTGTAAACTTTTCGCCCACAGACCYCTGTGCATTTCCCTTAGGAGTTTGTGTAGTCTGGCATGGAGCACTATGTTTCATTATCTAATCACTTGCAGATCTGCTTCTTCACTGTTTTTTTTTACTGTGTCATAACCTGGTGGATTTTTCATGGTGCCTAATGTAGAACTGTGAATACTTGTAATTTTTTACCAAATAAACATCCACGCTGTTGTTGACAATGGTGGTAGTGTTGTCCTTTACCTATTTTTCTGTGAATGTTTGAGGAAATCTGAATACTTCATGGTGAAATAACACTGCTACTGCCTTGGAAAAATGTAAAAATATTGTCTTTAGTTTGCCAGCAGATTTGCCTATGAAAGAAAACCATCTCCTTGTTATTTTGTTTTGATTTGCTGCAGCCTTTCAATCTGTCCTCTACTGTTTTTTTTAACTTTATTAGGCAATACCTTCTTAAACTGATTCTGAAGAATGGCTTTGTTTTCAATAGACTTCTTTAAATGTCTGCAGAACCATGTTTTTGTCACCACTCTTCCTTAACAATGACATTTCTAAAGGAGATTATTTGTGCAGGACTATTACTGTCTCTAGATTGATGACTACCTTGTTTCCATTAGAATCAGTGCTAACAGTATTCCAGAAGTGTATGAACTGGGAATCTTCTGTTTGTCTTCCCCTTATGTGTTGCTACTTGACCCTTTTGGTACAGAAAACTGGTTCTGTGTTTTGAGAGACTGGCCCTTCACAGTGCTGTCCATTTTGTATTATGTGTAAGTTTCAACTTAAAAACCATGTCTGACCTGATGGACTTGGAGCACAAAATTTTTGTGAATAAGCTTACTTGATTGAATAAGCTTACTGTGCTGTGTACTTAGGAACAGCTCTGCACTGTGGCTTTAATTGCAGATGGTGAAGTCCCTGATAATGCCTCAGTATTAACTGAATAAAGCAATGTTAATGTTTTAATGTTRAAGAAATATAAATGTCTTGGATCATAGCTTCTGTTGTGTGTGAACCAGTGTGACATGAGCTTGGATCTGACAGTGTAGTCTTGAATTACATATGCAAGYCTCTCTTCCCCTCCCCACTCCACCCCTCAAACCCTCCTGCCTTGCCTTTAGYTGAATAAAATAAACACAAACCAGGCTGTTCTGTACAGGTCTTTTCATGCTATTGTTAAGCTGACTGCTCCAAAGTCAGTGTTTCGAGGGAAATGTACAATGCAAAGTGGCAGAAAGTTGCGATGCAGTACCAGTAATTTGGCTACAGCACATTTCTGCCAGTCAGAGCAATGAATTTAAGTACATAGAGTCAGTAGCTGTAGGATCTTTTCCTCCCTTTCTCCTGGATGAACTGTGCTGTAGCTGCTGATGTAAGGCACTTTCCACATAACCATGAACCAGAAGTTCATGGTTATGTGGAAGTTTGCATTTATAAAAAATTTTGGGATAGGAAATGATTGTTGTTTAATAGAATCATGAAGCGTTAATATAGCAATCTTCCTGAAGTGTTTGTTGAGCTATTTCTGTAACTTTGGGTCTGGAACACAGGAATAGGAAAGAAAAAAGAAAGTAAACATTTAACACTTCTTTTAACATAAGTGTAGTTATAAGCAGAATAGCAGTTTGAAGTTCATGTACTTTGAAGTTCATATTCTTTGAGCCTCAAAGAAATTCTTTTAATGCCTCAAATTATTATTGTAAAGTTTGAAAATCCCATTTTAAAAAGTGTTAAATTTTGAATGGCTCTTAATGCTGTATAGATTTGATTAACTGATGAACATCTAATGGTTAGTGAATCTTTTTTGTGTTTCAAATACCCATCTAGGATCATTAAACATTGACAATTTACTTTTTCACATCTTAAGGAGTCTATTTGTATCTAAATGTATCTTTTTATATTTAATGCTTTTGTTAAGCAGTATTTTTTCAAGAGAAAAACAACTCTTGCAGGTACCACAAAGACTTTCATGTCGTTATTTTGACATTTACATTCTTAATTGGCACTTAAAAGGATCATTAATATCTTCTCAGGACTAGCTGAACTTTTAAGCCCCCTTTTAGAATTCATCTGACACACAAAATACCTTGAAAATGTTATATCTGAATTGCCTTGAAGTTGAGTGGTGAAAGATTTTGGAGCCAAATCATAGTAGTAACAGGAAAAATGTTGCCATGAAAAGTGGTGTTGAGATTCAAATCTTAAAAGTGCCTCAAAGAAGTATTCTATAAACAAATTTGTTTATTTGAAAATTGGCTTGATTTCCTTTGGTAAGAAAAAAGAAAAATTGTAATGAACAAAAACACTAGTCCTAATAATTTAAATAATAATTTTTCCATATTTGTCATTGATACACTCTAAAAATTAAGTGCACCTTCCCTCAAAATATACAGTAGCAGTATCTTAGGAAAGATAGTTTATATTTTAGCTAGTTATGCTGGATTGCAATCTTCCTTTAAAACTTGTATGAAGAAACTTACATAATATCAGAGTATGTCAGTGTAGTAAATGTTTTGGTTAGTAAAAAAAAAAAAATTTAGCTCTGTGCAAATAAACTTAAGAATTTGAAAAGAGCAATTTCTAATTTCTAGCTGTCATGCTATGTTCTTGGTGTTACTATTTATACAGTTGCAGATTTAATGCACAGTATTTATTTAAATATTTCTTTTTGTTTGCAAGTCAAAATTTGGGAAACTGTCCCCCACTGCTAGCTGCAGGGATTTATAACTTTGTGAAGCTCTTCATATGAGAGAAATTATGTGCCTAAATGTTCAGGTGTTCCACTTGAAGGAATACCAATCTGTTCAATTAAAAATCAGAGTTCTCAAAATTGTTTTCACAGTAAGCTTACACAACCTAGTTAAAACGAACAGAATTATGTTCTCAAAGATGACAGTGTACTTATATTTGAAATGTTACTTTGAATCACTACAAAATAGAAACAGCAACAATGTGCAAGGGTCAGAAGAAAATGGATATAAACACCTGTTTTCTCAATAAACACAAACTTTTGCCTTAGCAGATGAAAAAATATTTCAAAATCCTAGTCAAGTTCTGTGTATACTGTGCTTGACTAAGATGGGTTTTAGCAGGTTTCTCAGAAATGTCTTAGTGCCTTAGAAAGATGTCTAATGGGAATCCATAGAGGGGGGGGCATTTGGATTTGTGAGCACTAAATACCAGATGGGGTGACAAAGATGAGGTTTGGGTGATCCTAGTCAGTGGAAGTCCTAACAATGTGTTATTTGAGATCTCCTCAAAAGTCTGTTAACTCCTGGCATGGGATSTGATAAAAGATACCGCATTATTCATAGTAACGAAGATTGTCCAGAACAAGAGGTCTTTAATGATTTCTGAGGAATGCTGTCAATTTAAACTGAAGAATTAACTGGAACTTGTCTGTTCTTGTTGTCTGTAATACAAACGTTCCTATGAAACAGAGAAATATTTTAGATTTTTATGCAGTCTCTCTTAGAATTGTAGTTTTGAGACTCTGTAGAGGAGCAAGAGTTTGTATATCCTAGAAAAATGAAAGAGAATAGGAAACAGTTTTGTGGTTTGGTCTGTTAAAACTACAGCATATTTTCTTTTTTAATCTCTGTTTGAGCCCATAGCTTCACAGCCAAAGAAAAGCAGTAATTGGGCTGTATTTGCCAGTAAGTTGAAGAAAGTGCTGAAAAAGCACTAGAATCGGCAAATCTGCCACTGTCTTAGTGACTTGTGCTGGGACAGCTTGAATTTTAGATGATTCTGTTAATRCAGGAAAGAGAATCCAGGTCACTCCTTATGTATAATGGATTTACCATACCAGCAGAAATAGTGGTTTTTCAAGCTTACTTTTTATAGTTAAATGGATAATTAATGGATATTACTGCTTTGATGAATGTTAACAAATACACCAATTGCTTGTCTTGTTTCTTCACCCTTGAAGAACACGTGGCACCAATACAAAACAAAGGGAGAAGATAAGTAAAAGACGCCATTTCATTTTTACTTTTTAAGCCTTACTCCAGTTTCACTCAATGTGCAGTGACACAAATGATGGTATTTGAGCACTACAGTTAAGCATTTAACAATTAGCTGTATGTGTACAAGRTGAGTAGGGTCTGTATGTCACATCATTTTGGTTAAATATCCAAACAATTTTCATGCTAATATATTAAATCATTAATCCTTTCTTCAATATTTCCCTGTCATTCTGTGTTTAAATTAAGTACCCAGGAAAGATGGTAAGAGTTTTCTAGATTTACCTACTTAATCATCTTGCTTCTGAAGTATCTTCAGCTGTTTTCTGGATATTCTGCAAAGGTCTCRGTACTTGGCTTCTGGTAGGCCAAGATGTCAGCAAGGTATACACTCTGAAATGCATCTCTTTGTGGAAACGGCTAGAATGCAGTTTCTGTAGAAATGAGCTTTGCTAGCATTTGTGAGAAGCACTTAGATAAATGTGTTCTGGGCAATGACAGGTGAGCTTTCCAGGTTAAAACTAGCACTTTCAGCATTGTATTTCCTCAGAAAATAGCATGATTTACTCCTGGCATTGAGTTTGAAACAGTGTGTTTGCATTTTAGGTGGTAAAATTTTGTAATGTTTAAGTTTTTGTATGGTCTCTGCATATAGCCTAGTATATTTACAGTATTTAAGGAATACTGCAGGTATCCTAATTACAAGATTCCATGATTCCATATTTTGAAGTTGATCATGTTCATCTGAAAGGCACTGACTCACTTTTGAAGAAAACTGTAGTTTGAAGGGTARTAAAGAATTCTTGTGATTTTGTTGCCTATGTTTCCTGGAGAGTTGAACAGACTAACTGAACTGTAAAGTTTGAAAACAGATCTCTRTATCAAGGACTGATAAAATCCGGTGTCTCTTTGTTGTTCTGAAATTGTTATTACAATTTGCATGTGACTGAAATTAATCTCAGCATTTTATACCTAACTAGCTCCATATGTCATAGAGGAAATAGGCTGTTTTTCACAGGAACTGTGAATTGGTCATTGTGTATTTTGTGCTTTTGGTTTTCTATTCCTCATTTGAGTAAAAATTTTTGCTGGCTATTTTAAGATGTTATGTTAATTAACTATCCTAGGGGGAGTTCTGTCTCAAAAGTATGCATGTCTCTTTTTCACTGTTCCATCACAATACTTCTAACATGATGTGGAACAGCTGCTAGTATATGATTAGAAAGAAGCCTTTTGAGCAGTCGTCTTATGTTGTTTATTTTGCAGAGGTTTGTCTGGTGTCTTGCAGAATGACTGACTGGCTTTTTMTTGCTTTCTGTTTTAGTGATGTGTAAGTGAATGGAAACCATTAGCTCATTTCAGATAGAAATTTTTGGTTACTGCAGACCTAGATTTGAATCAAAGCAATCAAGATGAAAGGCTTTATAGCCCCCACTACTAGTCCCTGGAGCCTTCTGAGGCTGTTCTTGTCCTTTTTAAGTTAGTGCATGTCCTGTAATGGGAAGAAGGAATTATTTACGGTTCAGTTTCTCCCTCGCATAATCAGTTATCTTTGGGTTGGTTTTAAGCCTCTTTGAGCAGTTTTGATTTTTGCAGTTTTTTGCCCTCTGTAGTAGCAGGAGTTAACAAAATAAGAAACAGAGATTATAAGATGCAGTATAGGCATTGCTTTGCTRTCCTTTGTGTTTTAAGAAAAGGGGGTGGTATTTAGCTCTTGAAAGGTCTTTAATGAATATTGTTTGATGGCTTTGAAACCTAATAGGACAGCAACAGAAACAGCCTCGGAGCTTTTAGGGTGAAGTGATTAACATTTTTCCTGATGGAGGTGATTGTTTCACCTCCTCTTTTAACTCGGTGTTTTTCACAGTTTCTTGCCGTTTGTTTATATTCAGATTACATACCGTGAAAGAAGCCTTTTTGTGTGGTTGCAATGCTTTCTCCCCTCCTTCTGTAGAAAATCTGCCTGCTACAGACAGGCAGAGCATGTGTTTCTCTTGTCTTGGTTGGGTGCACAAATCTTCTTTTATGTGTGCTGCTTCTTACCCTGTTGCCTAGACGATCACTGGCTTTCACTAAGAATGTCTGGTTCTCGTAAAGAGTTTGACGTGAAGCAGATTTTAAAAATCAGATGGAGGTGGTTTGGTCATCAGGCATCAGCTGCTAACTCTGCAATTGAAAACCACCAGGGAGACTTCTGGAATAGAGGACAAAATGTAACAACTGATGGCACGAAGTTTTTAGATTCAGGTAACTTACCTTTAACATCAGATGGTTACGGAAGGTCCAGCCAACAGGATTTCCAGAGTTCACCTCTTTGGCCAATGGCATCCACCTCAGAAGTCTCTACATTTGAATTCTCATCAGAAGACTGTGGAGGTGCAAGTTGGCTTGACAGACAAGAAACAGATGATAGAGCAAGTGAAGAAGAAAATGAATCGGACAGCAGTTCATGCAGGTTAATTATTACTTTCCTATTGTGAAAAATGTGTTTTAATTTCATGTTTATAGGTAGCATGCATATATATGCTAACCTCTATTCTAAACTAAAATGTTTCAGAAACCTAGCAGCTACTGTGCATCAGAAACAAAATATTTATTATAATCAGATTCTGTGCATTTACTGGGACCTTTTTAAAAGGCAGGCAGTGGGGATAAAGCATAAACATGGATGCACTTGTGTTTTAAACAGTGTACATGCTGCTATTAACAATGTACTGTCCATTACATTGTAATGTTACAGGATGCTTTCMCATTATTTTGAATGATACTGATTGTTTAGTTATGCCAGTTACATTGTAATGTTACAGGATGCTTTCACATTATATTGAATGATACTGATTGTTTAGTTATGYCAGTTAGGAGAAAATTATGAAAATATAAGCTTCTTATGATTCTGACCTGATGTTTCCATATGTTTCTGTTGAAGAGGGAGAATGAACTGTAAAAAATACTTAGACTCTAAATTAAAGGAAAAAATTACATCTGTTGAAAATCAATCAATTTGTCCTTTAAAGTGGTTGCAGTTACCCATCTGGGTGTCTTAAACCTTGCATTTGGAATGAAAAGAGAGACTGGATTTATTGTAATTGTAAAGATGATTTGGTGTTCTTTTCTTAAACATCATTACTAAAGATGAAACTGTAAAATTTGTTCTTAAATGAAAGTTATTGAGTTGTTGTGAATTAGGCAAGTTAATAACCTTTCTTGTGAAATACCAGTTTAATTCTTTTATTTTATTCACTGCACAAGTCAGTCATTAGTCACTAAAAGTATTTTTCCTGTTTTGTAGCTCACTTAGTGCCTAATAGCTTACCATTTCAAGAAAACGTTATGATGTTTGCTTTCTCACTTTTAAGATAGCTTTGCACTGATGTGACATTTCAGCAAGTGTGGCTTTTTAAAAGGGCACACTGTTTAATAAAGGCTATTAAGGACAGATCAATCTACTTATAGCARTTTAGTGTTTTTCATTACTTAGGTGAAGAATCAGTTCAGTGGAAAGGCAAAGTAGTCCATAATATAAATATTAACAAWTTTTTGTTTGTATGACCTTTAAAGATGCAAGAAAAGGAGGGAGAGTAAAATTCCTTAGGAGTGAACACTGTGTATTTGCTTTTATCACTGAATGTGATAAAATGCTAGAATTACTGGGAGAGGAAATCCTACCTACTGCTGCATCATAWCAGCAGTCTTACTGTGCTGCAACAACTACATAGCTGTAAGTAACAAACCTCTGAAGAGATCCCATTTTAAATGACATTCAGATGTGAATTTTTAAACAGCTGTGTCACTGGGTGTGATACAGGTAGAACATCACCTTCCATTTGGGCAACTTATACTTCTGATAGGAAACTTTTATKTACAGCATTAGCCCAGTTAGAATATTCTTATATAGCAAGGTAAGCACTGTAGGAAAAAGAACCATGTAATTTTAAGAGATAAATGTGTAGATTTAAATTATTATAAATTTGGTCTTAATTGTAAGAGAATAACCTACAYATGGTAAAACTATTTTGTTACTTCGTAGAACTGAAGAACTGCAGATATTTATTTAGAAGGTTTTGAGGGTGTTTTTTGTTGTTGCAGATAGTTGTATGCAACAAGAAATGCATGTTGGATTTGAACTAAGTAAATTGGAAATATCTTTTAAATTATGTGCTTAATCATCTATAGCATCTTGAGTTTCTTGTATTTCTCTTACTGTCTTCTAACTCATGCTAATGTTTACTTACATGCTTTAAAATAAATAATTCAGATAAATTTTGAATTCAGTGTCACTACAATTTAACATGCATGTGATACAATGATAATGTAGGAACTTACTTTGTATTATTGTTATCTGTATCTCTGTCTTATGGGGAGGCTGTGCTTAAGTTTTATTCACTTCCTTTGTAAAGAATGTATAATCTCTTGGACAGACTACATAATTCTGCCTAACACCTGGAATTTCTCTGATATTAAGAACTTCATTAATTGGTTTTTCTTGATAGTCTAAAATACAATTTCTTATATGTTGACTTGAGAAGAATAAAACCCAAACCAACACTTTCATCTGTGTAGTTTTCAAAGGGCTTTTTTTTCCCATATGAAAACCCTGCTACCACCTTTACAAATTCTGTGTATGAAAAAGTCATTTTAAAAAGCTTTTCGTAGAAGCTACAGTTATCTTATTTCTGTGTCCCTCTGTAACTTACTGCCCAGTTACAAGCCCTAAAAACATGAACTAACAGAAGCAGCTCTACTCTTTTGTTTGTATCAATCCTCCCTCTTTGCCATGTCATATAGCACAGGTAGAAAAGCATTTAGATCAGGTCTTTGTCATTATTTAAATCCTTATGTGATTCATCTAGAGAAGACCTGGTATTGTATTAATTTGGTGTTAGTATAGAGCTCAGTTCCAAGTTTAGTACCAGATCTGTGGCCAAGGTTGCAGAGATGCAGGCAGACCATTCAGAGTCAGAAGTGAGAGCTATTCAGTTGTAATACTGTTCACATCATACTCCTATGTGTCGTTTGTAGCTAGCATTAGCTTAAATGGTTGTTTACTGGGACAGTGAGTTTTGAATTCTTCTGTAGATTATCATTCCTAGATTTCCTCTATTGCTGCTGTTAACTCTCCTTCATCCCTGAGGCAATGATGATGCTTTTGAATTTGTACACTTTTAAGAATTCTCCAGCATATGTGCAGACTCTTGTATAGAAAGTTTAGCCTTTTGGCATTAGATTTGTGTTTCTTAATTTCTTTTGGGTGCCTTAGCAGCAATCTACAGACCTTGAAGGCATGGTGGAGATAAAGCTAAAAATACCTAGAGCATACTTAGTGTGGAGAATGTTGTATCTGGTTCATTTCATCCAGSCATGCATTAAAATATTGGAATTATTTTACTGGGGATTGAAGCATGGAAATGTACTAAAATAAAATATAAAATGTATATTTATATTTGAACAGTAAATACAAGCAGGATTTCAGAATTCATCACTGTATGCTGATCTTGAATAGGTTAGTAAAACGTGTAATTATTTAAAGACAAGATCTGAATGTACCAGKTGGTAGCAACTCTGCAGTATTGCTCTATATGATGAGTTTTGGAGTTAGGACATTGTGACTTCCAATCTAATCTGCCTCCCCACCCTGAGTTTTCGAGGTGCAGAAACGTTTGATACATCTTTTCTTTCACCTCAGACTTACTGACCATTGAGGGTGTAAGATTTTTAGGATGCCCAATGGTGCTGTGTACTCCTCTATATCTCTTATCACAAAATAATGCAAGCTGTCAAATAAGGATGATAAATAGGTTTCCTAATTGTACCTTGATGCTAGTATGACACTTGAAATTAACTGAAGAAGAGCAATTTTTTGCTACAGGTATGCATGAACTAGATAAAAATAAGTAACTTTGTTATTGAAAGACAGTTATTTTAAAGGGGAAAATATCTAACCTTGTTTACTTTCTTCCATGCTACTGCAAAAATTCCTTAAATTCCCTCTGTGCCTTTTACATTTTCACWTGGGTTACAATAGATTCACAGAATGAGTSAGGTTAGAAGGGACCACAGTGAGTCATCTGGTCCRACCTTTGCTCAAACAGTATTGTCTAGAGCACATTTCACAGGGTTTTGTCCAGATGGTTCTTCAGTTTCTCCAGTGAGGGAGACTCCAGAGCCTCTCTGGACAATCTGTTCCAGTGCYCAGTCACCCAGTAAAGAAGTTATTTCTCATGTTCAATTGCTGCCCATTGCCTCTTCTCCTATTGCTTTGTATTTCCGAGCAGACCGGGACCCATGATCTGACACCCTGTCTGTAGAAGCTCCATTCTCTGCAGCTGAGGTTCTTGTCTTAGTAGCTTTGAAAAATGAAGTATTTTACTCCTTTTGAAATAGAATATACAATCTTGGAAGCTGGCAAAAATATAGCATAATATTGTTTTAGTAAGTTGTGTTGTGATGTCTCTATGTAATAAGATGCCAGCTAGCTTGAAGAAAGCAGTGTAAACAACCAAATTACTGAAAAATTATTTTTAATACTATTGTGTGAAAACTGCAGTGCAGGAAGTCATCTTAATGCAGTGAGAAACTTACAAAGATTTGTTTAAAAATGCTGAAGATATATCTTAATATTATTCTACTTTGTCCAAGGGGAGACACATTTTCTCTGATGTGTATGACCTAGGCAATTGGCTGCTGTAGACTATGGGTGACTTGAATTTGCAGCAGATCTACTTATATTTATTAAATTTTAAAAAATACCTTGAGATTGTGGGTTTGTTGTGCAATTTAGGAAGTGCAGTAGCCTATCTCAAAATAGACAAATAGCTTACCTTGCTCTTATGGCTGCTTTTTTTTTTCATTAGGAAGTCCAGCTACTAGTAACAGAAAAAATGCTTTCACTGGTTTTGAACAGCAGTGAAACTTCAAATCTATGTACTTCATTATGATTGCAGACTTCTGCTTACATCAGTAAAGCATTTTTTTTATTTCATTAATAGTATTTTTGCATTATAAAAATTACACAGGAGTGTGTAATTTATAGTCAGAGTTAGTGTGCATTGTTTTTCTTCCTTAGCTTTTTTTCCCTAAACACAAGGCAATCGCACCCATTTTCCTGCTCATAATTAATAATTTCCATCACTTATCTCTAAACTTCTTTTATTACTTTGAACCTTATTTTCAACCTTTTTGTAGTGTGAATAAAACTAAAATAATTTTTCTTATTTGAAAGGTTTTTTACAATAGGTTTTTTTTTAGCATCTGTATATGTTGAGATATCTCTGTTGGTTTGTTAATTTTGTGTTCATTTACAGGTCATATTGATAAAGGTAATGTTCTTTATGCCTAAATTCAGATTTTAAATATTGATGTTAGTTACTTCATTCCCTAAGAAAAAAAATGTGCTGTTCAGTGGAATCATGCTAGTTAAGTGTGCTTTTTCACATCTCAACAGTTTTCCTAATGTTT